TTTAGCAGTATTTTTTAGAGATATATTGTCCAGGTAGAGTAAAATGTACAGATCCTGGTTTTCTGTTGAGTTTTGTTTTGTTTTGAGACAACGTCTTGCTCTGTCACCCAACCTGGAGTGCAGTGGTGTGACCATAGCTCACTATGGCCTCAACCTGCCAAGCTCAAGCAATCCTCCTGCCTCAGCCTCCCAAAGTACTGACTTACAGGTGTCAGCCGCTGCACCCAGCCTCAGCCTGTTGTTAATGGATGTAAACACCTGTGCGACCACCACTGAGAACCAGATCCAGCACATTTCCAGCCTCTCGAAGACTCCTTCGTGCCCCTCCCAGTCAGTGATCCCCAAGGGTGATGCCATTCTATCCTGTTGTTCAACTTGACTCGAATGGAATTCTCACAGCATGTGTCTGTTTGGATCTGGCTTCCACTCAGTTGCAAGGCCCATTGATGTTTCCTGTGGCCTAGCTCCTTTTTATTACTGAGGGCTACTCTGTTGTATGAAAACCACAATTCATTTCTCCCTTCTCCTTTGGTGAACATTTGCATTGTTTCCAGCCTGGGGCAATGGTGAGTAAAGCTGTTAAAACAGGCACATATGTTTTCCTTTTTCTTGGGTAATTTTTTAGAAGTAGAAAAGCCAGAACATAGAAGTAGATATTTGACTGTATTACAACTCACCAAGCAGTTTTTCTTATTTTTTTATTTTTTAATTTGTTGAGACAGAGTCTTGCTCTATTGCCCAGGCTGGAGTGCAGTGTCGTGCACTCTCACAGACACACATGGATCCAGATGCCACAGCAGCCTTAGTTGGCCAACCTTAAAACCACACATTTGTTCTTACAGTGTTGGAGGTCAGAAGGCTAAAATCAAAGTGTCATGGAAGGTGGCCAGCAGGACTGTGGAGCTTCTGAGGCAATGGGGCACTTTGGCTAAGAGCCACGTATTGGTTCCAGCTGGTGGTCAGTCTCGACCAGCCAGGCTGAGCTCCCCATCGTCGGGGCTGAGCCTGGGTGTCCTCTGGTGACGCTGAGTCCAGAACAAGGTTGCCCACCTTCTGGTCCGCAGGGCTGAGCTCTGCTTTCTAGACTTCCAAATAAGAAGAAGAGGGAAAGTCCCCGGTCTCTGGGCACAACCAGGAACAGAGAGCAAGTTCTGACTCAGCAGAGGGATCGATTCGTTCCATGCAAAGAGCTGCACTGTCAAGGCCAACACGAGCCAGGGGCTCAGCTCACGGCATCACACCCAGTCCTCTCAGAACCCTGCCGGGTGGTATTACTGTCCTGCCGTTCAGAGGAGGGAACTGGGGCACAGGCAGGTCAAGCGACTTGGCCAATGTCTGAATTGCTAGTGTACAGAGCTGGGAGGGGAGCCCAGGCCCGCGGGACCATAAATCCAGTGTAAAAATCCATCCTCCTGCACCCTGCGGAGCAAAAGTGAGTTCGGTTGTTTTCTGGGGTTTCCTGGACACACAGATCTAAATTCCACAGCAGCCTCGCCTGGCCAATCTTAAAACAACAAATTTATACTCTTAATGATTCTGGAGGTCAGATGTTAAAATCAGCGTGTCAGCAAGGTTGTTTCCTTCCAGAGGCTCCAGGGGAGAATCTGTTTCTTTTCCTTTTCCAGCTTCTAGAAGCTGCCTGCATGCCTTGGTTTCTGGCCCCTCCTGCCATCTTTAAAACCAGCAGCTTTGTCCAGGCACAGTGGCTCATGCCTGTAATCCCAGCACTTTGGGAAGCCAAGACAGTAGGATCTCTTCAGTCCAGGAGCTGGAGACCAGCCTAGGCAACAAAGTGAGACCCGGTATCTACAAAAAATAGAAAAAAATTGGACGAGCGTAGTGGTGCATGCCTGTACAGCCAGCTACCTGGGAGTCTGAGGTTGGGGGAATCGTGTCAGCCTGGGAAAGTGGAGGCTGCAGAGAGCTGAGATCACGCCACTGCACTCCAGCTTGGGTGACTGAGTGAGATCCTGTCTCCAAAAAAAAAACCACAAAACAAACAAACAAACAAAAAAACAAAACCAGCTTCTTGTTGCTTCTGTTGTCACATCTCCTACCTCTGACTCATTCTCCTGCCTCCCTTTTATAGGATCCTTGTGATCACATTGGGACTACCTGTAAAATCAGGACAATCTCCCCATGCCAAAATTATTAATTCAATCACACCTGTGAAGTCCCTTCTACAACATATTCACAGTTTCCGGGGATTTGAATGTGGATGTTTCTGGGGAGTGGCCCACTGATACCCAGTGTTATAAGTTTCTTGTAAATCCTTCCAGAGATATTTTATCTATAAACAAATAAATGCAAGTCCATAGCCTTCCACCACCCACTTTTTATACCAATGGTATCATTCCATATCAGTGCTCAGAGTTCCGTCTTCCTCTTTTTCTTTTCTTTTTAAGGCTACGCAGAACCTATTATATGGAAATACCCTAATTTATTTCACTTTTCTCCTGTTGGAAGACATTTAAGCTCTTTCCAATGCTTTGCTTTACAATCTTTTGTATTATAATACTGCAATGAATAACCTTGTTTGTAGGATAACTTTCTATTTAAAATCTCATTTTTCAGGCCAGGCGTGGTGGTTCATACCTGAAATCCTAGCCCTTTGGGAGGCCGAGACAGAAGGATCACTTCAGCCCAGGTGTTCAAGACCAGCCCTGGCAACACAGCGAGAACCTCTCTTTTCAAAAAAACTTAAAAATCAGCGGGGCATGGTGGCATGTACCTATTTGGTCTCAGCTATTCGTGAGGCTGAGGTGGGAGGATCACTTGGGCCCAGGAGGTGGAGGCTGCAGTGAACCATGCTCACACCCCTCACTGCACACCAGCCTGGGCAACAGAGTGAGAACCATCTCAAACTAAACTAAAATAAAATAATCTTGTTTTTCAGAATTTGAAGGCACCATTTCAGACATTTTGAAACCTCACAGAACTTTTTTGGGGAACTTGTTGCCTTGGAGATTAGCCTGCCCTGTCCCGCCCCCATGATCTGTACTTGCTCTTTCTCCCTCCTGGCTTCCTTAGTTAAGCCTTGTGTGTACTTGCGAGCCCGTGTCCATCATGCTCTGCCTTCAATTCTAGACACTGTGGTGTGAATATGCTTGAGTGGAGGCCACATGCTTCCCAGGAGGGTGTGCATTTTCAGCGTTGTATCTCATGATAGTGTGAAAGGCTCTGGAGAGAATCACAGGCCTCCACAAACAGACAAGGGGAAAAATGTTCCACAGACGTGTTTCAGGGACAACAGACTTCCCAATCCTAGGCCATGCTGGTCCATAACTGGATCAGGCTGACTCTCCTTCCCCCACACCGCTGGTGTAGACAGGAACAAGAAAGAGAAGTCAGAGACACAGAGAAGCTGTGATTTGCTTGAGGTCACTAAAGTATTTAATGGTAGAGTTCAGACCTGACCTGAGGGGCAACAAAAGACACCCCCTCAAATCCATGGGGAGCAGAGTCTGTCTGAATCAGATCCCAGATTTCCTGGGGCTTTCACGGAGCCAGGTGTACACACTGAGCTAGGACGGTTTCCCAGGGTTCCGTGTGGTCACACAGCTCAACAATACAGACCAGAAAGCAGTGGCCAGTAGGCTGAATTTGGCTGGCGGGTGTTTTCTGTTTGGCCTTCACAGTGTTTCTTCTAACTTGTTATTATAGGAAATTCAAACATGCAGAGGGAATTGTACCATCAACAACACACATCCATCACTCTGCTCCAACAACGATCAACTCAGGCCTATCTTGCTTCATCCTATACCCTCCCTCACTTGCTTCCCTTCCCACCTTCAGATATGAAGATACCATTCCATTGCAAATATTTCATTGTGTAGCTCTATAATATGGGAATTTGGGGAATTTCATTTGAGACAGAATCTTGCTTTGTTGCCCAGGTTGGAGTGCGTTGTCGAGATTGTGGCCTCAACCTCCCAGGTTCAAGTGATCCTCCCACCTCAGCCTCCCATGTAGCTGGGGTTAAAAGTGTGTGCCACATCTGGCTATTTTTTTAGTTTTTGTAGAGATGTGGCGATCCCGCTATGTTGCCCGGGCTGGCCTCAAACTCCTGGGTTCAAGTGATTGTTTTGCCTCGGCCTCCCAACATCCTGCGATTATAGATGCGAGCCACTGTGCCCAGCCAGGAAGTTTTACATAATCCATTTTGACAAAAATTTTCCTCCAAGAAATTAGAAAGTTTTCCAGAAAAATAAATTCAGATTTCTGTCTTCTCTTAAAAATTTGGAAGCTTTGCCAATCCTGGGCCTAGATGGTAATCACTGGTTAGCGCTGAGTAGATGTTGACTTTTTAGATGAGGGGTGTGACGCCTACTTTGCCACAGTCCCCGCCACTCCCTACCTGGCCATCTGACTCATAACACGTCACCTGCCTGGCTCCTTTAGGCATTTAATTTGTGTTGGAAATTGACCTAAAGGAGATTTTAGAGAAGACATTAAAAACTTGAAGAATGTGAAAATCAGCCAGGAGATAGAACTGTGCTTTAATGCGGGTTATAGAACCACACTGGATATGAGGCATTTCGGAATAAACTTTGAAAATCCTAAGTATTAGTTTGTGAATTTTGCTCAGAGAGACCAAGGTGGGGGGTGGGTGGCAGTGGAGAAGCATCTCCTATGTGCCAATCTCTTCTACCACAGGCCTTTTCTCATGAAATCATCAGTCACATGCAGTAGGAGAAACACCTTCCCATTTTACAGATGAGAAAACTGAGGCAGAGAGAGGTGAAGTAGGCTTCCCAAGGCCACTCAGGTCATGAGCAGCAGAGCTAGGATTCAGACCTGGAGTCGGCCTGACTCTGAAGCGATGCATCCTCCCCATGGCCCATCGCTCCTTTAAAGAGGCCCAGAAGACAGAATTTGACAGAGTGGTAGCCCGTGGGGCCTGGGATGGGTGGGGAAACTACACTAGGGCTTGGGGCTGCTGAGGGCCTGAGGGAAGGAATGGAGAGCCCGGGGGCAGAAGTAGAGGAGGCGGCTGCCCCATGGCTGCAGAGGGCATCTGGGAAGAGGCTCTGCTGAAGGTGGCCAGGAGGGCAAAGGTGACGGTGGCCATCGTTATATGGTGATGGTGGGGAGAGGGTCATGGCTTCTTCTTGTGCCTCTCGGGTGAGTCAAAGATTTACCCTCCAGAGCCCTGAAGGGTCTCTTTGGCCCCTTGAGCCTCCTGAGCCCCCAGCCAGGGCCCTGGGCGCTTTGCTGGGAGCTTGGCAGGAGGTCCAGCAACCCCCATTACTACCTAGTTCCTTACCAGCCCGGGGCGTCCACCTGCCTCTTCCCTGCCTGGAAGGAAGGCCTTCAGCCTGGTGCGTTCCTGATGCAGCCTCCACCGCCTCTCAGACTCTCACACAAGCTCAGCTCCCTGTCGCATCCTCTCAGGGCCAGGCTTCTCCTTATCACAAGCTTAGACTGTCTGAGTAACTAACTGGATTTGTGTCCGCCTCCACACAGGACCCTAAGACCCCTGGGGCTGAGGCTCCGTATATACTAGTCATAGCCACACCCCATTCCCTTGCATGGCGCTGTCACACCCAGGCCAGCCACTGACTAGCACTGGAGGGCAGCAAACGGGAGGCCGGCCACCTGACTGATGGTCCCACACCTTCTCCCTGCAGGCCGTCCCCTTTTCTGGAACTATCCAAGGGGGGTCTCCAGGACGGACTTCAGATCACTGTCAATGGGACTGTTCTCAGCTCCAGTGGAAGCAGGTGTGTGTGTGTGTAATGGATGGAAACGTTTCACTCCAGCCTCGTCCCTTGGTAAACCACTGCCTGGGAGCCTGGGTTAGTTCAGACAACAACATCCAAGCTCACGTGCCTGGCTCAGGGGAGGCCCAATGCGTCCCTAACCCACGCCACAGGACAGCACTCCGCAGGCACAACCTGCAGCCGGGGCGCCATTAACCTGGACTCCGGGATGAATGGGGCCCTGGGAGCTGGTGGTTTAAGGAAGGAGTGGGAGGATTTGTTGGAGGATTATGTTCTGGGTTGAACCTTGCACACTGTGACTAAGAGTTGCAAAAATCAAACCTCCTCCATTTCCCATCACTGCTCTCATCCACTCTGAAGCTCTCCTTCTGCTGATGTGAAAATATTGAAAATCGCCATCAAAAGTAATTTGTTCTCTTTTGGTTTCAAGGCCTTTTCTGGAAACTACTAAATCAATTCAAAATACTAACATCGTATTAGGGCTCTTTCCCACCCCCTCCTCCCTCCCAAGGTGGACTGTCTGGGAACAGAGAGGAGCTCACATGGCTTCTCAGGGACTGGGAAGGCTCTAGACTGTCAAAAGGACCTGGCTGACCCCTGCTGGGGCGCCCCGACTGGGTGGCACAGAGGTGTGCAGCTCTCTCTTGTCTTGGTGGGAGACCACGGGTGGCTGCCTGCTGAAGTCTGTGGGGCCCACAGAAGAGCCTCTTGGACTCATTGCTCTCTCACAGAAGCCCCTCTGCCTCAGTCCCAGAGGACCTCTCCTTCTGGGCCTCGCAGATCCCTGCTCAACCTCAGCTCGGCCACCTAGATTCTTAGCGACCTCCCCCAGGAGATGCCAAGGGCAGGGAGGCCCCTGATCCCCCTGAACCCTCCAACCAGGGGAATCAGGACCAAGCCTCTGATCTTCCACCCCTTCCTCTCTCCCTCTCCCTCCGCCTTCCCCACCTGCCAGCACCAGGAGGGCTTCCCACTCCCATCCTGTGGAACAGAGACAGATCCTACCTCAGAGGACCCTCTCCTCTCAGGAGCTTTCTGCCTCTCCCTTACTTGGGGCAGGAATTTCCAAAGGACTACAGGGATGAAGCTGAAGGACTCCAAAGGAAAAAATACATACAGAGGTATTTCAGATGTAATCGTCTCCATTTATTCACTTAATTAATTGATTTTTTTCTTTTGAGACAGAGAATTTTTCTTTCACCCAGTCTGGAGTGCAGTGGTATGATCATAGCTCACTGCAGCCTCGAATTCCAGGACTCGAGTGATCCTCCCATCTCAGCCTCCAGAGCAGCTGGGACTACAGGAATGCACTATGATGCCCAGCTAATTAATTTTTCTTTTTAAGTAGAGATGAGATCTCGCTGTGTTGCCCAGGCTGGTCTCGAACGCCTGGGCTTAAGTGATCCACCCACTTTGGCCTCCCAAAGTGCTGGGATTACAGGCGTGAGCCACTGTGCCCAGCCCCAATTTCACATGCTCTCTACAGTTGTTCTCTTCTTTCCCACTTAGTCAGGCATGTGCTGGCCTCCAACAAGTGTCCGCTGGCACAAAAGGCTCTGTCTTCTAGGTGTGCTTAGCAACTTCCATCTTTGGTACCAATTGGTAATCACTTTCCAAGACTTATGCTTCTTGTTTGCTCATGCCAGCACTTTTCTTTAACCATTTTCTACTTATTTTTAGAAAATCATACTGTAAAGGAAAAATGCAATAATTGCACAAAAACACATTAGATCCAAGTTAGAGAAAAAAAAAGGATGCCAACCAACCAGTCTCTGCCATGCAGGTTCTATGCAAGATCCCAGACAAATGCAGGGCAGAGGCGCCGAGGCCCTCCTGTGCCTATCCCCGGCAATAAACCATGCCACAGAGGACTATTTGCTTTCCCTGGGCCTAGGTTTGCTGTGGACTTTCAGACCGGCTTCAGTGGAAACGACCTTGCCTTCCACTTCAACCCTCGGTTTGAAGAGGGAGGGTACGTGGTGTGCAACACAAGGCAGAAAGGAAGCTGAGTGCCTGAGGAGAGGAAGTTGCACATTCTCTCCCAGCAGGGAATGCCCTTTGACCTCTGCTTCCTAGTGCAGAGCTCAGATTTCAAGGTGAGCAGGAATCCTCTCCCCACCTCTCAGCCCTGGGACCCCCAGCCCTATCAGGTGAATGGCTTTTAAGTAATCACTTTAATTGACATTCAGCCAGAGTGACACCACTATACAGATAACACGACCATTTCCTTGTAAGGTGTTACCCATAGCTGCGTAGTCTCCTTCTGCACCTTCACCTGAATCTACAGGTGCGCCTGCTGCTTCTTTTACTCTGAAAATAAAAACTAGAGGAGTCATCACGTTGCTGTTTGGTGTTGTGTGTCTTTGAATTCCAAGCTCATTCCATTCCTCTGCTGTCACCATTCCTCCTCTCCAGGTCGCTGGTAACATTTACTTTTCAGCGACATTGTTCCAGCCTTTATCCAGGGTCTATTAAGGGTATAGTTTTGTAAGCACATTGCAAATTACCTTTGCAAGTAGTGTAGGTCTCTGGGCTTGAGAAGCCGGTGGCTAAGTCAGTCTGAGTATGCTTATCTGAGATAAGGATGTTCCCATCCACTCAGTATGCAACCAGAGGTCACCTCTCCTCTGTTCCCCGTGAGCATTTTATGCATCTATAAATAATACTCCTGCAGCCATAAAAAGAAACAAGATCATGTCGTTTGTAGGAACATGTATGGAGCTGGAAGCCATTATCCTCAACAAACTAACGCAGGAGCAGAAAAGCAAACACCTCATGTTCTCACTTATAAGTAGGAACTGAATGATGAGAACACATGTACACAAGGTGGGAAACAACACACACCGGTGCCTGGTGGAGGATGGAGAGCATCAGGAAGATTAGCTAACGAATGTTGGGCTTGATACCAAGATGATGAGTTGATCTGTGCAGCAAACCACATGGCACCCATTTACCTAGTTAACAAACCTGCACATCCTGTACTCATACCCTGGAACTTAAAATAAAAGTTGAAGGGAATAAGCACAGTGGAACATGCCTATAATCCCAGCACTTTGGGAGGCTGAGGAGGGCAGATCACTTCAGGTCACGAGTTCAAGACCAGCCTGGCCAACATGGTGAAACCCCATCTCTACTAAAAATCCAAAAATTAGTTGGTCATGGTGGTGGGCACCTGTAATCCCAGCTACTCGGGAGGCTGAGGCACGAGAATAGCTTGAACCACTGTGCTCCAGCCTGGGCGACAGATTGATACTCGATCTCAAAAAAAAAAAAAAAAGAAAAAGTTGAAGGATAAATAATAAATAAATGAAGCCCCAGGTGAGCTAAGACTAGAAAGACAAACCTCCTGCAGTCAACGACCAGAAGAACGAAAAGCCAACTACTGGAGCCCAGTAGAGACTCGGGTTGATGCCCTTCGGGTCACACACGTTCCTGTAACTGGCCCCACAGTGAGGCCCAGACTCAGGTCTTCATTTTCTAGAAGGAGGGTCCAGGAGCGCAGGGGGGGTCCCCATCCCGGCCTGGGGCACCTGCCCCGAAACACGTGCTCTCCTCTGGCAGGTGATGGTGAACGGGAGCCTCTTCGTGCAGTACTTCCACCGCGTGCCCTTCCACCGTGTGGACACCATCTCCGTCAATGGCTCTGTGCAGCTGTCCTACATCAGCTTCCAGGTCAGACTGTCCACCTGGCACCGGTCCCCGGGGCTGGGATGCAGGGCCCAGCGTAGCTGTGCCTAGGCCCTGCTGGGTGGACCTAAGCCAATCTCCTACCCAGGTGACTCTGGGGACAACCTCTGCTTCCCTGTCCCAGTGCCTGCCCGCCCCTTCTCCTCTGTCACTCTGCCCCTCCTTCTGTGTCACCTGCCTTGGTCTCCCAGACTCCTCGGCTGCCCCTTTCTCTTCATCCCTCAATTTCCATCCTGGTAAGGAGGCCATGTTGTTCTAGAAAGAGCCCAGGCTCAGGAACCAAACTGAATCCAGTTCAGATTCCCAGCTCTGCGATTCATCCTCTGTGGGATCTTAGACAAGCGACTTTGCCTCTCTCAGCCTCGGTTTCCTCATCTGTAGAATGAGCATGGTCATTGCCTGTCTCCATGGGTGGTTGTGTGGTTCAGTGAGGAGACAGATATCAGAGGTCACACAGTGGCCCCCTGGGCCCACACCAGGGTCTGTTTGACCTCAGTATTTTAAAGACTTTGAATATGTTGCCAACATCTGAAAGGTCAGGAGAGCCGGGTACGGTGGTGGAGGTCTGCAATCCTGGCTACCCAAGAGGCTGAGGCGGGAGAATCTCTTGAGCCCAGGAATTAGTTCTGCCTGGGCAACACAGCAAGACCCCACCTCTAAAAACTTCTTGTTTGAATAACAAAATAAAATAAATAAAACTAAAGAAGGTCAGGAGATACTAATACCACATGAAAAACGGGAAGATGAGGGTATGCTGGGCCCATATTCCCACAGGGCACCGGCAGCTGGATGGGAGCTGCTGTTACCCTTTTGGCATTCGAGGGAGTTCCCTGAGATGAGCGAAGTGCGCAGCAGGCCCTCAGCAAATCTGGGCTCCTCACCCTTTGGTCCTCATCTTTCATTCCCTCCTTCCCTGACTCTCCCCTGCAGGTGGGAGGGAAGAGCTGGAGAGAGACTGCCCCCCTGTGCTGCTCACCGGAGCCTGGCCCTTTCCCCTCCTGCCTCGGCGTGGCCCTAACTCCCTTGCCGCATCCCCCTGCCTGCCTGGTCTCTCCCTCTTGCCCCTGCCTCTGCCTTTCAGCTTCTCCTTGGCTCTATTGATGTTTTTCCTCACCGGCCGGTGCCTTTTGTTTTAACAGAACCCCCGCACAGTCCCTGTTCAGCCCGCCTTCTCCATGGTGCCGTTCTCCCAGCCTGTCTGTTTCCCACCCAGGCCCAGGGGGCGCAGACAAAAAGTGAGTTCAACACAGAGGCCCCGGGTGGCTGAGCAGACAGCAGGAAGGACCGAGGGTCTGAGAGGCCGGCCCCAGCCAGGAGGACACCAGGGCCTACAGCCCCATCGTGCCCACTCAAGAGCTCCCTGTCTCTGTCCACTGGACACCCAGAGCTGGGGACCTGGGAGTCACCCTGGATTCTTCACTCCCCCTTCTTTATGTCTCTCCAAGGCACCAATGTATCTCCCTCCCAAAGTCACCACCGTGGCCCAGGCCTCTGGGATTCCTCACCATGACGACAGGGGTCCAGTTCCCCACCCCCCACACCCAACCACTGCCCCAGTGACCTTCTTATAAGCAAATCTGATCACACCCTCTCCCTGCTTAAAAATCTTAAAAGCCCCAAGCCCTTCAAATACAGCCCAAATTCCCCAGCAGGGCATACAGGTTCCTCCCTAGTCTGGCCCCAGTCAACCTCCCTGCCTCACCCCCAACCCACGAAGCTCACGCAGCCTCTGCAGCTCACTCAGGGCCCGCTCGGGCCACCATGCTTTTGCATATGCTGTCCCTGGCCCCGGAAGCACCCTCTGCCAGCCTGCCCCCAGCACACGCCTAATCGCCCTTCCGTGCTCTGCCTAAGTGTCTCTCCTCTGGGAGTCCTCCCTGCCCAGAATATTGTTGGATGCTCCCGCCATGTCCCCATGGAGTCTGTACATATCTGTGCCATGCCAGTTCACAGCACCCCATTGTAACTGTGTTTGCGTGTCTGTCCCTGTCACTCCACCCCCATCTCCCTATGCCCATGAGGCCCCAGAGGGCTAGGACTGTGGCTTGTTCATTTGCACAGTGCCTGGCACTCAGTAGGGGCTCAGTGAATGAATGAATGTGGAATGTGGTTCTCACAGCCAGGGAGAATGGGATACCAGCCGGGGCAACAACAGTCTACTGGGTGGGGCAGGATCCAGGATAAGGAGGCGAGCAGCCCTTCCTGTGGCCACTCAAGCAGTGGGGACTGGGAGGAGGGGCGCTTTGTCTACACAGTCTTCCTATGGCCCATTATGGTACAGACAGGGCACCTGCCTCCTGCCACGCTGACTTCAGGACTGGTCGAGCCCCGGGGAACTTTTGCAGGGCAGCCCAACTTCGGCCCTGGTCCTGTCGCTGGGGAGGATAGAAAGTGTGCTGGATACAGTCACACAGAACTGGCTGCCGTTTTGGATTTGGTCCCTTCTACCTGGGCGAGCTTGGGCAAGTTGCTTAATCTTTCTGAGCCTCATTGTCTCACCAGGGACACAGGAGCTGAGGCTGCTTCCCTCATTGGAAAGCACTGAAGCCCAGGAATCGACCCACAGTAGACCTTCAACAAATACCCCTTCTCACCTTAGGGGTGAAATATGGCCCTGGGAGTAACGCTCTTGGCTGTGGGAGCTACAGAAAGCAGTGAGGTCTCTATCAAACCCAGTCTTCTCTCTCTTGAGAGGAACAAATGGGGATACCCTACCTCCCAACCCCAAAGCCCTGTGCACCTGGGGGTAAAAATCTGGGTGCCACAGGTTCAGGAAGGCTTGCTTGGGAGCAAGAGGGAGGCAGGTGTGTCTGGGGAGGCATTTCTTTTTTCTTTTTTTTTTTTTTTTTTTTTTTTTTTTGAGACGAAGTCTTGCTCTGTGGCCCAGGCTGGAGTGCAGTGGCGCGATCTTGGCTCACTGCAAGCTGCGCCTCCCGGGTTCATGCCGTTCTCCTAACTCAGCCTCCTGAGTATCTGGAACTACAGGTGCTCACCACCACGCTCGGCTAATTTTTTTTTTTTTTTTTTTTTGTATTTTTAGTAGAGACAGAGTTTCACCGTGTTAGCCAGGATGGTCTCGATCTCCTGACCTCATGATCTGCCCACCTCAGCCTCCCAAAGTGCTGGGATTACAGGTGTGAGCCACCGCGCCCGGCCCTGGGGAAGCATTCCTGAGCACAAGAGCCTCCCTGGAGTTCTGTCATCGTCTCTTCCCGTTCTGTGGTGCCCGCGATAACCACCATTCTGACTCTCCTCACCCCTCCAGCCTCCCAGTGTGCGGCCTGCCAACCCAGCTCCCATTGTTAGTCTCTTGCTTTCTTTTTGGATCCTCTTGATTTTGGCTCTTCTTCTGGGCTCATGGAGGAGGCAGGGTTGAGAGACGTTTCCCTGAGAGGAAAGATGGGCCAGAGCCACCAGTGTCCCCATCTGTCTTCTCCAGGGTTCTAACCTTTGCCCTCCCTCATTCCCTTGAGAGAAGAAACACCTGGACCCACCCTCTGTGGGGTCTGTGGGGCCACTGGGCTGATTACATCCCCTGGAGGTGCCTGCCGTGTGGCGCCCTCTGGTGGGAGCTGGTGGTCTTCACATGGGAGAGCCTGAGTGAGACCTGGTTTCTTTCTTCCAGACCCAGACAGTCATCCACACGGTGCAGAGCGCCCCTGGACAGATGTTCTCTGTAAGTCTACAAGTTCTGGCCAGTTCACAGCTGCACAGTGTCCTCCTTCACCAAGAACTAAACTCCCTAGAGCCCTAGAGTCAGGAAGAAAGCGGTTTAGCAAAGAGGATGGGGACATCTGGGGCTGGGTCCTTGGCTCAGGTGACATGTGGCTAAAGCTGTTCTTGGGACAGCAGAGATTCTGGAAGAAGCAGGATTTATCCAGTGGTGGAAGAGGCAGGTTCCCTAGAGACCGGGAGGGAAACTGGTTCACCTGTCACCAAGTGGGGAGTACAGTGGCCCCAGCACCCGGATGTGAGGTTCCTGGCCCTGCATCCTGCGTCCCCGGGATGTCACTACTGATCACAGGCTTAAGCTCTTCTCCTGATGGTGCAAATCAGGCCGGGAGTTTAGCGTTAGTGGGGCTGCTTGTGGAGGGGTTGAGGGGCAGGTGACCGTGGTGGGGTCCGGGAACATGGCAGGAAGTTCCAGGAAGGCTAACATGAAAAGGGAGGTGGACGGAAGAGTCCAAGGGCCAACGCCTCACGAGGTCAGCCTCACAGTGGAGCCCCCTCTAGAATGCGTGGGTGCGCGTGGGTGAGTGCTTGTGCACACATGTGCTCTCCCATTGAATTTCCTGGTTTCTTTTCAACAGACTCCTGCCCTCCCACCTATGGTGTACCCCCACCCCGCCTATGTAAGTGGTTTCTCAGGGAGGGCGGAGGTTCTGTTTGTGGTGGGCAGGCTGGGGGTGAAGAGCCACTGCGGGGGTATCCACTGGCCTTGAAAAATGAAAAGCGGTCCTTTGGTAAGCTGAAGGGCTTCAAAGCATCCCAGTGAATTAGAAGACTGTAGAGAGGAGCTTTCAACCTTAAAACTGTCATGTCAATGTGAGCACATTGCATAGCCCTCCCTTTTCACCCCACGAGTCTTTTTGTGTTTGGCCAAAGTTCTTTTCTTTTCTTTTTTTTTTTAAAAATGTCTTGCTCTGTCGCCCAGGCTGGCATGCAGAGGTGCGATCTCGGCTCACTGCAAGCTCCGCCTCCCAGGTTCACGCCATTCTCCTGCCTCAGCCTCCCAAGCAGCTGGGACTACAGGCGCCCACCACCGCGCTGGGCTAATTTTTTGTATTTTTCAGTAGAGACGGGGTTTCACCGTGTTAGCCAGGATAGTCTCAATCTCCTGACTTCATGATCCGCCCACCTCGGCCTCCCAGAGTGCTGGGATTACAGGCATGAGCCACTGCGCCCAGCCCAAAGTTCCTTTCGTGACACTAATCTAAGCCCATTAATTTGAGGAGCACTGGAAAGTTTTCCTTTGGCTTTTATGGAACGAAGTAAAGATATCACGGGCTTCCTCTCAGCTGACAGCCCAGATTCATGGAAACTGGTACAGTCTCCCCCTTTTGCATGATGGGCTGCCCCGGCTGCCACTGGCTGACCCATGCCCCTCCTTCTCAAAGCTGATGCCTTTTGTCACCACCATTCCGGGAGGGCTGTACCCATCCAAGTCCGTCATCCTGTCGGGCACTGTCCTGCCCAGTGCTCAGAGGTAAGCCAAGGGCTCCAGTGACCTCTGGGAAGAGAGAGCCCTTCAAGGTCATTCCAGTCATTCCCCTGGCTTCGGGCAGGCTGTGGATGACAGGGAGGAAATGGGGCCCAGAACTCAGTGGACAAAGGTCCAGATGGGCCGCCCACCCCAGGTTCCACATCAACCTGTGCTCTGGGAACCACAACGCCTTCCACCTGAATCCCTGTTTTGATGAGAATGCTGTGGTCCACAACACCCAGATCAACAGCTCTTGGGGGTCTAACAAGAGCGGCACAGCTGGGGAGACAGGAGGAGTGGGCAGTGAAGACGAAGCCCCACGCTCATTCCCCTCCCATCCCCCACGCAGCTCCACCCCAGTCCCAAGCCACCAGCCGTCCACTCCTGGTGGGAGGTGGCCTCCTCAGCCCCTCCCCTCTGACCTTTAGCCTCACTGTCACCTTGCACTCTGTACCAACCCTTCACCCCCTCCAGGAAAGCTAGTCTGATGGCATCCCACTGGCCTCCACCAGCTGACCAGAGTGCTGTCTTCAGGGGACTGGCTCCTTTCCCAGTGTCTTTGAAATAGAGAAATGAAAATGCTTGTTGGCACATTCATGTGGGTTGACTGTGGCTTCCTTAACTCATTTGGAGACATTTTGGAGTCTGTGGAATTGGGCGGGGTGCTGCTAAGAGGAGTGGGACGGGAGAGCATGGACTCCCTTTGGGCAGGGGATCCTGACCTCCCACCTCCTCCCAGAGGGTCCCTCGCAAATCCCACGAGGGTGTTGGAGAAAGCAGACTGGGGCTCTAGCCTTTTGGGCAGGAGTCTTGGACACAGGAAGGTTGCAATGGGGGACCCCAGGAAAAAGCCCCAGGCCTCTGAGATGGGAGAGGGGCTGGGGCAGAGCCTGTGAGGGCCACAGCAGGACCAGAACTGGGCTCCTCAGACCTGGTGTCCCATTGGGAGGAGGTGGCTTGGGGAAGGGGTGTCAGGAGAAGCCAACCTGAAGCACCGTTTAGGTGTGTGTTGCATTGTGGGTCTCCCTGGCATTAGGGGTTAGGGCTTGCGTGGGAAAAGTGGCTCTGTGCCCATGTGTGGGGTTCAGCCAGCCACTGGAAGCCCAGCTCCGCATCCAGCTGATGCCAACACATCCTGCTTGGCCCAGCAAGAATCCATTTCCTCAGGCCCCATAGACCAGCACAAGCTCCATCTGCTGCTGTCACACCTGGCAGCCATTTCAGAGGAGCCATGGCCTGCCTGGGGTGTTCCTCTGTGGAGGATCTGTCCAGGCTGTGACACCCACCAGCTCCCCACTCTGAGGGGAGCTTTCCCTACAAAACACCCACACATACATAGAGTGTGATTAAAATAAAATGCAATTCATATAAATATCTCCATCAAGGAATCATACAGGGAAGGCCCAAGTGGCCATAGGGAACAGACTGGGGTGTTAGTTTTTTAAATACCGAGGCATAAATAACTGTACACAAGGCAGTTAAATACACAGTGGCGCAACAGCACCTCCTGGTGGTCACATGAAGTGGTGCACTCAGCAACGGGTTCCATCTTTCACCCACTTGCCAGGTCTAGCATTGAAGATTTCGTCTCCAAGGGACCAGGGAGGCCCCAGCTTGAGAGAGGAGGCTCCGATCAATCCAGGGTGCTACTTGGTACTGGAGGTCAAGTAAAGGGCTTGATGGGGAACGAGGTGAGGAAATAAGACTTGAGGCTGGGGGATATCACTTTTCTCCATCTCCCCAGGCCCTGTGACCTCAGAGCTGGCTCCACGGTTAAGTTCTGTGTCAGCAGCTTTAACCCCTCCTGTGGGCCATCAGAGGGCTGACATCTCCAGGCTCCTGGGCTGCACTGCCGCCCCGTCCTTCTTCACCTCGTAGGGAAATACAGCACCAAAGATATCTTCATGATAGCGCTTCTGGCTCTTTTAGGTGGAAACAGAGACCAACGTGTCAAGTCCAGGCTGGGATGAGCCCCTGGGGCTGCCCAGCTTCCCTGTCACATGGACCTTTATGAGCCATCTGTCTTCCCAACTGTCATATTTAGACTGTGCTGGAATCTGGTTTAGAGCCTAACCCCGCTCAGCACCTGCTCTGGAGCGGGCCCTCTAACCATCTCCAAAGCTTTACTTGGCATTCCCATGTCCTGACCAGTGCTCACCCCCCACCCAAGACGCTCCAGGAAGTGTGAGCTCTGAGATAAATACGTTTGGGAAAGGCTACGTCCTTGCTTTGCTCCCAGTCTTGAAGGGTCCCGACGCACAGCAGCAGGTTGAAGCCCCCCAGAAGCCTTGTAGTAAAGCAACATGCTTGCCTTGGCTTAACTAAGCATGTCCCAGGCTATTCGACTTTGGAACTTTTTGATGCCAAATATCTACTGATCCATTCAACCCATTTGGGGAAATGCCTGTTATCTCCTCACTGTCCTTCCAACATGCCAGCTTAACTCCCACCCCCGGGCCTTTGTACCTGCTGCCCCCTCCGGAACAGCCCCGAGTGTTTCCTTCAGTATCCACGGGGCTCCTCCTCACTATCTCGGGTTTATTCTCAGACGCCACTTTCCCGCTCTGCCTTCTCTGGCCACCCTATTTACAATTACACTCCCCAGCGTTTCCTGGGCTGTTTCCTGCTGTTTTTCTCTGAAGCATTACACCTCTTTCTTTTAGGTTTGTCAGCCCTAGTAGAATGTAAGGAATTTTTGCCTGATTCATTTACTGGTCTATCCCTAGCACATAGTAGATGCTCAATAAATGTTCAGTTGAACATATGAATGTGTCTTAGGGAGAGTATGGAAGTGACAATCACAGGGTTTGGAACCAGAGAGAGGCAGACTGAACTCTAGGCTTTCATATTCACTGCTGTGGACCCCGTAGGCCCCCTTCCCTCTGTAAAACAGGGTGCCTCCCTTGTAAAATCCTTGGCAGGACTGAATGAAATGTCACATGAGAATCCTTGGCAAGCAGTATGCCCCGTGGAAACCCTTGATAAATATCACTATTATCTTCATCAATGAAATGCAAGCCCTTCCTGCCGTGGGGATACGGGTGAGCAGATGCCGGCCTGGGTGTGAATAAGAAGTGTGAGGTTCACACGAGGCTGACGGGGGCAGCCTTGCTCTCCCCTGTGTTCCCAGCCTTGCTTTGGCCACACAGATACTTTCTGAAAGGGGGTTTGGGGAGAGGCCAAGGAGACTCTCCTGCCCCCATTCCACAGACGGCAAAATGGAACCCATTCTCCCGACTTCTCAGAGCTGCGACCAGTCCGGGATGTGCACCCGGGTCTTCTGACAGCCCACCCAGCTCAGATCTCAGCCACTGCTAAGATGCTCTTGGGATCCAGAACTTTTCTGGGCCTGACTCCCCTGGGTCTACCTGCCACCCCTGGTCCTGGCTCCAGTGGCCTGTGCCTTGGCCAACACCCTCAGCCCACACCCCCACTACTATACCTTGAGCTGAAAGAAATAGTCCTCGACCTGCTCCTCATTCAAGTTCAGCTTGGCAGCCACCAGCTGCTTCAGGGTGTGGGCCACATCCCAGGCCATGCGCACATCCCCACAAACATAGAGGTGGCCCGGCTCCTCGTGGAGCACACGGAGCACCTCGCTGGCCAGCTGCTGCCGCAGGATGTCCTGAACATAGACCTGAAACCAGACGAAGTGGTGGGTCCAGTCCCCAGCTGCTGGGGACAAGGCTTGCAGACAGGCCTGCTGGCCTCAGGGAGGCAGGGAGAGGGCACTCAGGGCTGTGGAGTGAGTCCCCTCCCAGCCAGGACCTTGCACGGGGCCAGGTTCAGGGTGAAGAGGAGCACAGATGCCCCGGGGGCTGGGCTGGGAGTAGAGAGATAAATGCTGGACACAGTCGTGCCCTCGAGGGGCTGACCATGCAGTGGGGCTCCCAGACTGTCTCTGAATTTGCCATGCTTCAAAGAGGCATCAATAAAGGCAGTCCTCCCGCCCAGGGCTCTGCCTACACCACAGAAAAAGGAGCCTCTCAATGCAGACTGTCCATCACGTCCCTGCAGGATAGGGATCCTGGGCTCCCCAGCTAGAAGGTCCAAGAGTCAGTCGGACACTCTCTGCTCCAGCTCTGCACAGGATGCACACTGGCCCCAGGATTGGGCACAGAGCACTGGACCCAAAAGGTGCCCTGGTGGGACAAGTGTGTGAGGGCTGAGACTCTATTCTGACACCCCAGGCTCAGGGGGCAACGCGGCCTGGGGGCAGCAAAGACCCCTCTGAGGGCTGTGATGGAAGCGTTGGCCACCCTCCAGCCTTGCTGGGCTTGAGCGTAGTCAGCCTGCACCACCTCTCCCTGGGCAGTCACGTGTCCCAGGGGACCTGCTGGGGACCTTCAGCAGGCTGAGCTGTGGGCTTAACCC